TTGTGACCAAGCTGACGTAATAGTATCAAAAATATATATCTAAATAAATGATAACAGATTTTATATTACAATGACAAAGCGTTTTAAATGTAAATCAATATAGAAGTCAATATGAACATTGTGAAATTCTTAGATTAATGATCAAAATAGATACGTCTAATTAAGACTAATCGAATGATGTAAATCACTCGATATTGATCAATTCACGATACTCACATTACGTTATCTATCTTATGTGGGCATTATCATTTTAAAACTACTCACTTAATTCATGCTTATACGAGTTGCTGCTACTAGTGCTTAGATCTGATCATCTGTTTATCCGAATATAAGTAGATAAAACACTTAATCCGAATAATTTATCTGATCGATAAATCGATAACTTTTAATCCGAATTGACCGAATTTATCTAATAAGATATCTGATTCAAAATTAAACTTATTTATCGTTATTATTATCGTTATAATTATTAAGTGCAATAACTAGTAATTGCTTTAGAATTTTTCATAGGTCAGTAACGAAGGTCTTGTGATCGTATGGGTAATCAATCAATGATGTAAACGCAAAATCGAATATGATGCATGAAAAAGTAATGAAAGTTAAATATCGTATGATAAATTCGTAATGATAAATGATGTAATTAATTTAAAGTCAAATATATAATATAAAAAAAGTAAAAAAATAAACAAATTTAGTTATCTCTTTTCACTTAACAACTTCGAAATTTTAATTCTAAGTAAAATGAACTTACAAGCCATTTTAGAAGAAAGTAATAAAGATAGCTTTTTAGCCTCTCTTGATCATGAATCTGTGGCTTCTTCCGATTATCAATCAGCCAATGTTATTAAACGTGGTGGATCTCAGTCTACTAGCAAAGTTTGGAAATACTTTGATAAAGATGATACTTCCGGATATGGTATTTGTTGTGTTAAAGTTGTTGGAAAAGATAGTACACAACCATGCAGTAAAAAGATACGTTATTCAGGTTCTACTGGAAATTATTGGTACCACTTAAGAACTGCACATGGAATTTTTAATACTGACGGTGATGATTTAACAAGTGATCCACCAGATGAAGAAAAAAACCCATTAAAGAAAAAACATATAGATAGAATTATAGTTAAGTTTATAGTTAAAGATCAACAACCGCTTTCAGTTCTAACTGATGAAGGTTTTACTGAGCTAATAGCAGAGGCATTTCCATTTTACAAATTACCCTCAGAAAAGATGGTTAAATCAATATTGTTAGAATCTTATAATTATGTTAAACAAACTATAAATCTTAATATTTCAAAAAATTTGGCAAGTTGTTCTCTTACGCTTGATTTATGGACAGCAAAATCTCGACAAGGATATATAGGTATTACAGCATCTTATATAGATAATCAGTTTAAATTGCACGAAGTATTACTAGCAATGAAACATATTCCATATCCACATACGGGAGAAAATATTTCAAATGAAATATCTGATATACTTAATGAATGGAATATTAAAGATGAAGTATTTTGTATTACAACCGATAATGGTGCAAATGTAAAAAAGGCAATTGCACTATTGTCAAATTATATACGTATATCCTGTACCTCTCATACTTTGCAGCTAGTAATTGGAAAAGGACTTCTTCCATGTGAAGTTTTAGTAACTCGTGCACGTCGGCTTTGTAGTTTTTTTACAACACCAAAACAAAGTGAAAAACTGATTCAAGTACAAAAAAGTATGAATTTGTCGAATAATCAGGTATATTAGTTGTATTTATAGATTAAAAAATTATTACAAATTTCAAAATTGTTATTTACTAATAATAATTTTAATTTTTTTTTAAGCTTTTAATAGAAAATAAATGTCTTAGAATTATTAATGATGTATCCACTCGGTGGAATTCAACATACCTTGCATGGATAAGATTACTTAAAATGCGTCATATAATAAGTGCTATGATTAGTTATTTGGAACTGGAAAATAATCGTGATTCAAAGCGTGACTGTAGTCGTCTTAAAAAGATAAATCTTACCAATGAAGAATGGATAGCTATTGAGCAATTAATTCCTGTTTTACGTCCATTTGCCGATGCTACAGAATTTCTTGGTGGTAGCAATTACTCAACTATTAGCTGTATGTATCATGCAATTTCACTTATCAAGTCAGATCTTGCACATTTAAGTGAAGATTATATAGAAATGATAGATTTTACAGATCTGAGTACAGTATTTGACGAAAATATTGAATATGAAGATACTGATGAAGATGTTGATATTAATTCTTCTACCTCTCATCGCAAAATTCATATAAATATCTCTCAAAATTGTGATAATCTTATTTTACGAGTTCGTGCTGCACTATATAAAAGTCTTAATCATTATTATTCGGTTCCAACAGAAACTGGGTTAATGGCAACATTATTAGATCCACGAAGCAAATCTTTATCATTTATATCACCATATGATGCACAAAAAGCATTTGACAATTTGCATATATTATATAATAACTCAAGTACTAATACATCTGCTATGCAGTTTCAAGAAAATTCTAATGATTCACTGCTTGCACGTATGTATCAACATCAACATCAATCAACTAATACTAATGAAGTTATGAAATATCTTGCATATCCGAAGATTTCTTCAAATATCAATCAACTTCAATGGTGGAAAGATAATAAAAATGAGTTTTCATTTTTAGCCAAATTGGCTAAAAAATATCTTGCAATATCAGCTACCTCCACTCCTAGTGAAAGGTTATTCTCCGATGCTGGTAACATCATGACTATACGCAGAACAAGTTTGAGCCCAAATGTATTTGAACATCTTTTGTTTCTAAAAAGAAACAATAAGTTGGTTCATAATATATTTCCTAACTAGTATCTGTGAAAGCTAAAGAATATTGCAATAATGGTAATATAATTATTTAAAATTATTGAACACTGCAAAACTAAATCTAAAATTTTTATTTTAATATACAAAATATAATTTGAATTCCGAAAATCACATTGTTTCAAGATAATAAATACTTTGCATTAGAAGTTAAAAACTATGAAGAATTTGCACAATAAACGAATGAAATATTCTAAAAATTGAAATCATTGAAGAATTTGCACAACAAACGAAGGTTAAAGAGAATTTTTATCAATATAGAATTTACTTGTAGTCAAGAAATATTCAAAACATTGTAACTACATAGTATAATTTGCTTTATTAAATTCAGTGCTAATTTTTTATGCTTTATATCTTTGAAATACAGTATTATTACTTAGTTCAAAAAATGATGGATCATTAATATTTAATTAAATTACTTATATTACTATGTATTAGTTTTATTATCTAGCTGAACTTTTAGTAATTCGCATATGTCTTATTCTTTAAAGATCAAATTACATTTTAATGAATTGAATAAAACTTAATCGAAAAACTTATTATTTTCTGTAACAAAATGATGTCTTATAGTACAGAATAAAAATAATAATAGAAATAATTCGTTATAATTTTAAAAAAATCTTACACTTTACATGTCTGGCAAGAATTAATAATAAATAAATAAATATGTAAAAATTTTTGCTAAGATTAATAGCCTATTCAATATTTTCGCATTCTCAAAGGTTTGCGATCAGGCATTATATTGTATTAGATATCCGGATAATTATCCAGAAATGATCAGATTAATTAGATAATTATCTGCATATGACCGAATTGATCAGATAATTGTCTCGGTAGATAAATAGATGACCAGATCTAAGCACTAGTCCTATCGTTATCATTATAATAAATGTCGCAGATCATAATGAAATCGGATTAAAATGAAATGCTTCTAAACCCTAATGCTAAAAAAATGCACCCCAAAAATTTGTATGTTTCGGTGGCTTGTCTATTTTACACAATCGCTCATTTCATTTTAATCTGATTTCATTTTAATCTGCCACAATATATTTCTTAAAAACCTGCCTGCTTATAACAAAAACCATGTCAAATACAAAATTACAGATCGATATGTTCATTCGGCCCTGGATAAGTTATTCTGTCAAATTTTCTTCTCCTTTCAAGTTCAGAATGAACAAACAAAATAAGCTGTTGGCTATTTGTTTTACAAACTAAACCAGTTCATACCCTTTT